AAAAATCATTGTCAACCCTTTCCACTCAGATGCCGTAAGAGTTGGAGTCCGCTGTCCGCGGCTGCTGGATACCTGTTGCCGTTGCACGGGCTCGTGCGTCGTCTGCTGCGGACGCGGCCTTCGTAACTTATTATCGGGCCGGTCAATGTTCGATAGTCTGTGCTTTAATATCGACTACAAGACGATTGATTATGATCGCACAGAGACAGGTGTTGTTGCGGCAAATCCGTGTCACGATCGCTGATTGAAATCATTTGAAATAACATAAAGCGAGACAATTGAGAATGTTTTGAGAGTCCGGGAATCTCCAGTCGAATAGTTGATGAAAACTATACTCTAATTCAACTTTGAAAACCAAGCCAAGCCAAGACGATTGACAATTTGAGATAACATAAAGTGAAGCAATTGAGAACCTTTCATGAATTCTGAAGTTTTTATTCGAATTGTTGATGACAACCATACTCTGATTCAACAATTAAACTAATTCAACATTGAAAATAAAATTTGAAATAATATAAAGCGAAGAAATAGAGAATATTTCAAGAATCCGGAATTTTCTATTCGAATTGTTTATGACGCCCATGCAACGATTCAACAAATTATACTAATTTTCTGAATATATTCCTGCAGATGTTCACCAAAAAATGTTTTTTTTTCAAATTGATTTCATTTCCCTCAGATTTTGTATATTGTGGCGACAATAGATATTGTCTGGTATAATAACAATGGTTGGTACTGCCCTAAGGCTGTATTTGTGGTCTGTGATCTGAGCTAAACTCCAACTCGATTCAGAGCGTAAGAGATTTTCCATTGCCATTTCGCATCGCACTACCCGAAATGGGCTTATTTCCAATTGGAAACATATTTTTGTTCTATATTTTCAAGTGAAATGGACATCGCTGTTGCCTGATGTCAGGCTGTCAAACTGGGAACTTGAACTCGAGACCTGGGACAGTATAAAACATAGAAATAATAAATGGTGGTCTGCCCGAAGGCAGGTCCATGGTGTGAGAGCCACCACAACAAATGATTTCCTTGTTCTTCATCCCATTACCACTATTCTCTATCCCCATTTTTTTATTTCATGTATTTTCCTTTCCAAACATTTGTTCCCATGCTTCTTGATCATGTGCTTCGGCTTTCAGCTCCCTATATTTTGTCTTCTCTCGTAAGTCGTCAATCGTCTGCATTCTTCTTCTTCCCATTTCCTTTAATCCTTCTATTTCACCCTCGACGACGTCGTGTAGGAGGCGGTCTTTTTGCAAAAGAGGTCCGATCCAGTTTCCTTTCCTTCTCAGAATTGTGTTCAGTAGAATCCTTTTCTCACACATTCTTCTCAGGACTTCTTCATTTGTTACTTTGTCTGTCCACTTCATCACCACTTTATTAAACATAGTAATTTTCAAAATAAAAATTTCATATGCATCCAAATGCTCTGCATTTTAAATTACATGGTATGTTAATAATTATCAGTTTATCAAAAGGTGGTATTGTGGAATTTAAGTTTAAATACTAGATATTATAATGCAAGACTATAAAACAAAATCACTGTAAAGTTTATAGGCATATAAAACGTTTATACAAATATAAATCTAGCAGACACTGTTGCAAGATTTTTTAATTTTAGTTGACTTTTCTCAAAACGCGTATAGTAACGTCGTTAAAAGAGAAACGATAGAAAATTAATAAAATTCTATAGATACTCGTATATTATATAGATAAATATATTTTTTCATTATTTTTGTGAATGTATATAATGTATAAATTAAATATAAGATATATATGCATAATTTTTTTCATATTATCATTACATTATACATTGTATGAAATTCACTGAACATTATATGATTCTGTGTAAGCGAACTGTTCGATCGCAAGATTATAAAAGAGTCTTTATGAGAAAATGACGAGTAGTGATATCAATTCGCGAGCGAAATGAATTAAATGGTTGAATACTGAGAAATATTTATATGTTCAGAAGGACGTTTATATAAAGTCAGTCACTTTTATCACGTTGCGGAAATAATACACTATCGTTGCGTGCAAAGCGATATCAGATGCCCTCAAACCACGTACTCGGTGGATATAATATTTCAAAATTCATTATATTTAAATATAAATTCAAATAAAATGATATAATTTCACTAATGAAATTTTGATCTCTAAAACGTTAGGCATTTAAAACGCAACATAACCATGTAAATTTAAGAGGAGTTAACTTTGAAATTAATTTCATAGCAACATCATGTCCAAATTTTCTGCTCTGCTTCTAGCTATAATTATTTTATATTGATTACTATAACAAAAATATTTCATTACCAATATCAATATATTAAATGAATGAAGGAAATAAATTCGCTGTCGGGTACATTTACATATTTCATACACCTTGATTTTTATCGATACTTTATTTGTATTTCTCAATCCGCCTACAGCGCAAATGCAATAATTATTTTATATAATATTTTCTTATTGTTCAATAATTCACATGATACAAATCAGATTACAGTAATAAATATCGGAGATTATAGCAAATTGCACATCGGAAATTGCGGTTGAATAAAAGATATAGCCCTTATAGTAGGTAAACCTTGTCGCGTTGAACTTGATGTAGGACTAAATATTTTAGAAAAAATGACCTACATTTGTAAGATAAATTATTTTTATATATTTTGTGTGGAACGATGGAATACTAACACATTCAGACAATTAGAAAACCGCCTCGAGGATCATCCAAACCAGAAAACTACTCTATAACGTAGATGTCAATAGTCAAAATCTTTGACCATGGTCAGAACATTTTTGGTTTCCTTCATTTTTACATGTCCAATTCAGGACATATGTAACAATTACTATACAATAAAAAATATTGTTTTATATATATACGTACACATGTAAATATGTTTATATTAAAATTAAACGTATGCAGCAATTATATATACATATAATATTTTTACCCTAATTGAGCACTCAGCCAAATTTAGTCACTTTACATTAAACAAGAAGCTCTAAGAACTGCAAGATAGTCCGTATAAAAAACTGTGGCATTATATTAATTCTAATTATTGAGACGTGTCTTTCATGTAGCATTTTTTCTGGTTCCACCATTCTTCAGCTCAAAGATTGCGTTATGTAACGCAACTGTACTTGCTGATAATTAATTCTTGTCCAGGCTTGTTTCAAAATAAAGATATGCATTTGTTTCAATATCTGTTTCGTGTAACAAGTGAATTGCTGCGCATATAACCCCCGGATGAAACTAGTTTAATCGGAACGAAGCAGCTGCTATCGCGATCGCATAACCGATGATCTTCTGTCGAAGATTGTGTACTGAAAACGACCGATGTATCCTCAAATATTCTGGGAATGGCTCAAATGGCCGACAGCGAGTAGACGATAGCCATGACTCCAAAATGTAAATTGCGTTTTACCTTCAGTAGTTTCTAGAAGAAGTTATTCAATAATTATCGTTTGGGTCTGTTGTCTAAATTCCTTAACGATGTAACACTCATGTATTAAACATTCGAAAGTTTTGGACATGAAAAACTGATAATTGATCGCGGTGTGGGTCAAACTAGACCCTTGATAAAATATTAATGATTAACTATAATAAAATAACTAGTGGGGTGGGTGGCATCGTGCCTTAAGGCAAATTGCTGGAACTTCCCGTACCGTAAGGAAATGTTCGAGGAATACTGAATGTTTTCAAATAGATTATTATAAATATTGTAATTGTAAATTTGTCTAATATTTATAAAAATTATATAAAATAAATTGCAAAGTTGAAATTATTTGTAAAGTATATTAGAACTATAGTCAGAATTAAAAATAAAATCTGAATTATTTTCGATATACAAAGAATTAAAAAAAAAGTTGAGACAATTTTTTTTCCAAAATCAATTATTTTGTTAAGACAAGCAGAAAGTTTTTTGAATCATTTAAATCGGACACTTAATTCTCTCAAAAACTGCCATTTTTCACATATTTAGCTCCGTATCTTCGAAATGGCTGGGCCTCCTCTTGTCAAAAACTAATAAACACTTCTCCCAATCATTACTAATTGAATGTTTTTTAGATCATTCAAATCGGATACTCCGTTTTCTCAAAAAGTCGATTTCTATTTTCTGCACTCTTTGCTCCGTATCTCCCAAACGGCTGGACCTGCCTTTGCCAAAAACTAATCAGCTCTTTTCCCTATCAATAGGAATCGAATGTATTTTTAACCATTCAAATCGGTTGATCCGTGCGCCCGAAAACGTGACTGGAAATTTGTATCCATACATACATACACACACACACACACACACATCCATTTTTTCTGAGTTATGCCAAAATGTTCAGAAACCTTCAAAACGTCGAGAAATGTAAAAATTTTCAATTCCGATTTTCGGCCCATTACAATAACTTACCCTACGGGAAGTTAAAAATTGGTATTAAATATAAAGATAACATATTGAAATTTCATTCCAAGATTAGTTGAATTATCACACATGGTTTGGCATAATATAGATCAAGTGCAAAAATACATATTGAAAAATATAGCAAGTACTGAGTTTAGTCTTTGTAGGTTCAAGAATACAATGCCTCAATAGGTGGACGGAACAAATTATATGCACTGGTCCACTATTTTCATTAATATTACTCTTATTACTTAGAGAAAATGTAGAATGCATTATCTTTGCTTGTTTTTATCAATTTTACGCTTCCCATTCGTGTCACGCAGAGTTTTTGTTGATAATTTCGAAATAAATCTAAATTGATGCTTAAGATTCATCTCTGGTCAGTCCTGGTGGACGCTTGTCTTGTCGCACATCTTGTCCGACTGGATTACGTATGAACTATTCGAGGCTGTTGTTTCTGTTTTGTGTCGACATGCGAGTCGAGTATGTGTACTGATGTGTTGTAGTTATTGTGGGGGGCGAGTGGGGGGCGCTTCCCGAAGAACCGTGCAGGCCCCGTTCAGTCTGCTCGGACGCTCTAACAGAGCAAAACTCCGCGACAAAGAAACCAAATGCCAGCCAGCAAGCTCCGCGAGTCAGTACAACGGCGTATAAGCTTCGGTACGGACGCGTGTTCGGTCACTGTATTTCAACTTTTTAATTTTAACCCTTTATAAACATCACTCCACGCAACATTTTAGCCACTTACTGCATGTGCCATCACGATCGAGTGAGAATTGAAATAGTGAAGTTTCAGTGGGGTGAGAAAAACCTTAATTGATTTGCTTCAGAGTGATACAAGTGGAAATAATTTAGTGAGTTTCTTTTTCAATGTGTAAGATGATTTCGGTGAAAAGTGAGATCGATCGCTGATCAGAATATGTTAACCGAGTGCCCCATGGTTACCGGTCAAGTGTTGTGTGATGAAGCGACAGGTTAGCGCGTGTTCTGGTGGTGCGTTTTTCCTTCGACGCCTGTGCGGACTCGTCCCACTGGCGGATGACAACTCGGAAGCTTTCAACGGAAGGCCGAATTGTGGAAGGTGTGTGGACATTGTTATTGTTGTTCCGGAGACCAAACTGACGGAACGAGCATAAGGTAAGAATACTATTGATTCGGAATAAATTATATTAAAAAAAAAACATGCAAAATAGTGCATTCTTTATATATTTTACGAAATTAAAAATTTGTATTACTATTATTTGTGGTGCACTAAAAAATTAAAAATTTCTATTATTTTTCTTTTGGTTTTTGTTTTATATTATACTCCGCTGGGAGTATATATTGTAATCAAATTATGATAATATCCCTTCTTCAATGTCGTCAAAAATCTCTGCTCATTTCATATAACAAAAGGCAGAGTAAATTGAAATTAAAAAAAAAATTAAGCAATAAGAAAGTATAAAGGCTTCATATTACATATTATATTCACCAACCATTTTTTTGCAATATAATATTCGAATTAATAAATCATGAATTATTAATGTCCTCTAACCTCTAAACTCTAAAATGAATAAACTTATAAAATAAAAATAATTTCTAAAGCAATTTTGCTAATAATCATACTCTATTAGTTTAGTTAGATATAAATCGATCATTATGTATTCCGAATAGTTGAAAATTTAATAGATATACTGATAGCAATAAATTATAAAATTTTAAGTGTTTCAAATCAAAATATAATATAAATCAACTGAAAAATAAAAATTTGAAGAGTTTGAAGAGCCCATTTAAAAAATATTATATAAAAAGTAATAATTATAACTAGTTTCTCATTGTAGTTTAATTTACAATTTATTAACGTTTATTCATAATTTATTAGAACAGATTAAATTAAATTTGGCATCCTGTTAAAAATATAAATTGATCGTCTTAGGCAAGTGGAGTCAAACTGTCTACACGTATTTATATATAAGCCAAAACCCTGATTAAAGATGCATATATCACAAGAAGAAACTTATATACGTTTGCCAAAATAAAATTACAGATTATAAATTAGATAGATTATTGTGATAATACTATAATATGAAATGATTTATATGATATTATTATATTGCTCATTTATAACCAATCAATTATGAAACTATTATGTAAGATATATATTTATATATAGATATATTTATATATATAATATAGCCAATAAAATAACAAAAGACAATAATTGTCTTGTGTATCGTGTAAATTCAGGTTACATCTCATGGGTTTCATCCAACATGTGGTACAATAAATCTGTCAAAAAATCAGCTGCTTCTTTTATCCGATCATATATTAATAGTTCATTCTATATCTGTTTTAATGTGGGAATCTTTTTTATTTCAAATGATGACAGTGACCTTACAAAAGAGGCTTTGACGTCAAAATTATGTAAAATCTAACAAAAAGTGTCCGATATATATTTTTGAATTAGATACAACATTGAAGAGATTACAATTATCGCAGTTTACGCAGAGGAAAAAAGTAAAAAAGTAGATATTAAACATATATAAACAATTTTATAACTTAGCAAAATAAATGTAATTTACAAAATTTTATAATATTAGTTTTATAAATAAGTACTCAGATGATGTATTACCTGATTGATCACCGAAGAAATCATTTGCAAAATTGAAGTAAGATGACTGCGATTTCACATTGTTTCAAATTAATATAAATATAGTGATAATATTACTTACAACTTGAAAATATTATAAAATATACGATATATTAATCGATTTTTTAAAATAATTATTTATTAGAAAAAAGTATGTTTTAGTATGCACGAATAAATCTTGAATATGCCAACGATTTGAAAAAAATATATAATAATTAATCGATTTCATCTCCATTTACCAGGTCTACTACGTCTACTAAATTTTTATTGAAAAACAAAGAAATTGCAATAGTGCCCGAGTATGTGTAATAACTATGCAAACAAAATATGTATCAATATTTTTTTTATTTAGACATTAAATATAATTTGCAAAACCACAAAGTTAATATGTATTAACCCGTGGCCATTATCTCATTTCCACATACAAAATGTAAACAAAACAGATAATGTCTATCAGTTATAAATATTAAGGTCAGCGCATGCATTAATACACTTATTATACAAATTTAAACTGATAAATCACATGTAATATATGTACTACATATTGCATGCATTTGTTAATACCATTCGCTTAATTTGAATTTGAGTAATATTTAAATCTTATACCAAGAATTGGATTAGCCTTAGCAAAAGAATTGTAAATGATTGAGGAAAAATAATTTCTAAAAATGGAACTTGATTTAATACTTTTAACTACCGAGAAAGCACTTTACATAACCGTTCTCTAAATCAACTGAAGAATGAAAAGTTTGAAGAAACACATACACTATTTGATTAAAATACAAGATTTCTGCTAAATACCTACACCAAGTTTATAAACGTTCTGAAATCAAATGCACAAATTATAAAAAATATCTAAATAAAAGGAAACAGTAATCAAAAATTTGTCCTAACTGTAACCTTAATAAATAAATAATCTGAGGAATTTTGAGTACAAAATGGATTGATTTTATATATTTATATGACGGAATAAGAGGGGATGAAAATTTGTTAGCGAACACTATAGTAGGTATCAAATTTAAATGATGCATTTACATGATCTATAAAATTTTGTCATCTATTACTAGCTATTTGAATAGAACATTTTTAAACGAATGTGCATAGGAACATATTTCATATAGTTATTTAAGTAAATAAATGTTACGCTTAAGGCAATAAAAATTTTAACGTACGATGAAAGTCGTAAAACATATCATATAAATGATATAAATTGTAGCTTGTTATTAATGGATATGACTTCACTGACATATTTCTATAATTTATTGATCATTAAATTAATATACATTGACAGAATAAAATATATGAAACATACCTAGATAGGCAGTAATTACAACTTGCTGTCTGTAAAGTTCATAATATTTTGGGGCTTTGCGTAAACCTTGTATCAGGACAAAATTTTCAACGCACAAGGTTGATTTAGCAGTCGAAACAAATCAGTTTATTCAATATTATTCGTAGTCATGATAAATATGGATGTATAATGTGAAGTTATTGGGATGCTGCATCGAAATCAATAATTGCGATAATAGAAAGAACTTAAACCAAGATTCTGAGATCAATTCTTAACGCACCGTGGTAGGTCACAAATTTCACTATAAACAAAAAACTGACAATTTTAGCAGTACGGGAAAGAATATAACATAAGTATAAGCCTTAATTCATAAAAAATTAGACTTAACCAAATCCAATAGTTATAGACATCCTACTACCGCGAGTCAATAGAAGACTGAAAAGCATATGGCCATTGGAATACGTGCAAACTAACTAAGATATACCACTACATATTTCTAGATAATACATTATTATTATTAGTGTACAGTTTAGTTTATAGAATCGTTTATTGTATTGCTGATTGGTGAAACGGAGTAAAATGAAAAAAGATAAATATTCGACTTTAAATTAAGCTGGCGATCCGCAATCGACAATGAGTTACACGTTACAGCCGACGCGTGCAGCACGGTTGAAAAGCTCCGTCCGCGAGAATTTCAACAATTAAAACGATGACACACAAACACCTCTTGACATCGGCACAGCACATTCGACCCACATACGGTGAATATCTAAAATTCTTCTCGCCGGCAAGAACTCTGAACGAACACATCATAATTGATGGCACTATTAGCGATGAACCGTGTCAATTTGTCCGCGGATGCTCAATTCAAACGATGACGTAGCCGATTGAGCGTACGTACTGAGCGTAATTAAACAAACGATTCCATCATTGATGATCATTGCTCCGAGTTGCGACCGCATAAGAAAAAGTACCAACACGCGCCCGAGGAGTTGGAAAGAGCGGAACGCGGGCCGCGACTCGCGACTCTGGCTCGTGCGTGAGATCACCATTGCAGAAGTCTATCGTATCTGATCATAGGATGTTCCGCGTCGAATGTACAGTTGAAGGGTCATAGAACTTCGTATCATGACGCTTTTAGGAAAAAATCAGTGCAAGGAATTTTTACACATACACAATTTAAAGACAAGAGAAGTAGAAAATTACCATACTAATGAAGTATATAGCACCAAAATTCACATACGAGTAATTCTCGTGATTTTTATTGTGGTATTTTTACTGATTCTTAACTTTATTGGTCTTCATGAACAACCCATCCTGCCGTACTTTTTCATATAATTTCAAAGGAATTTTGTAAAAACTATTAAAAAAATAGCGGGAGGGGGTCGCTAGGTGAAAAATGGTACGTGGGGGCTGAAGACCCTAGAACAGGTCCTAGGGTTTATCAAATGAGAATTATTATAAGTTTAATGTTATTAACCTTAAGGTTTGTTTCCTCCAAGTCCAAACTGTTCGAAAGTGACGAATACTGAGTCATGCGTATGTGCAAGGTGACTCAAACAGTTGCAAATCGTCAGTTTTGATCAGTTTTCGCTAGTTTGGTCTCGTAGGGAACGAACCCTAAATCCATTACAGCTCCAAAAAATACAAAAATGTCAGGAAAGACATATCCATTCATAACAAGAAACAATTGATACAATTTATATGATATGTTTTACGATTTTTTTTATTTCCTTTGTGCAAAAATCTATTACTAGTTTAGTTTACTCATGCATCACAAATAGCTCCTAATATATAACGAATTGCCAAACGATATTAAGATGATCAACGATGACGATAATTTTAAAAGAAAAATAAAGAAATACTATAAGAAAATTGAAGACAAAAAAGACTGAAGAGTTATATATAAAGATATTTTAATTATAATAGATATTATATTAATGAAATAGTCAAATGGAATGTATATATAAAATATGAAAACTGTTTTTCATAATCTCTCATACCAGGCACCTCTGTCTGACTGAGATATGAAAATAATGTATATATGTAAATAAATATATATGTAATAAATAATTTTTTTATCATTTTGATCAATTAACCACCCAAGTGCTCTAGATTGTTATAAACTAAAACAAAATACAGTTACAAAATAAAGTTATTAAAATAATAATAAATTAAATTCAACGAGTTAATAATCAGACATACTCGTTCATAACC